TTGGATTTCCTCAGTGTCTGTAGTTATGTCCCCATTTTCATTTCTGACTTTGCTGATTTGGATAGCTTCTCTCTGCTTTTTAGTTAGTTTGGCTAAGGGTTTGTCTATCTTGTTGATTTTCTCAAAGAACCAGCTTTTTGTTTCATTGATTCTTTGAATAGTTTTATTTGTTTCTAATTGATTGATTTCAGCCCTGAGTTTGATTATTTCCAGCCTTCTGCTCCTCTTGGGTGTATCTGCTTCTTTTTTTTTCTAGGGTTTTCAGTTGGGCCATTAAGTTGTTTGTATGTGATGTTACGAATTTCTTCTTGCAGGCACTTAGTGCTATAAATTTTCCTCTGAGCACTGCTTTTAATGTGTCGCATAAATTTGGGTATGTTGTGCCTTCATTTTCATTGAATTCTATGAAGTCTTTAATTTCTTTCTTTATTTCTTCCTTAACCCAGCTGTCTTTGAGTAGTAAGTTGTTCAGTTTCCATGTGCGTGTCGGCTTTTTGTTGTTTCTGTTGTTGTTGAGGTCCAGCTTTAGTCCATGGTGGTCAGATAGTATACAAGGGATTATTTCAATTCTTTTGTATCTGTTGAGGCTTTCTTTGTGACCCACTATATGGTCTATTTTGGAGAAGTGTCCATGCTCAGTGCTGCTCCGCCACTAGGTTAGAAAGTCCCATTGTAACTGGAGACTGGGTTGCTAGTCCAGATGCTTTCTGGGAAATCCTGGGGTCTCTTCACTGTGCTCTCCAAGCTTGGGAAGCCCCGCGTCTGCTGTGCTTAGCTTGTATGGCGTTTCTGCCTGGTTTTGGTGAGTATATAGCGTATTCTCTGTCACTGTGGGATTCAACTATCTTATTTTTAATCAATATTTAGTGAAATGAGGCAACCTCTTAAGAGAAGCAGAAAATGTAGAAATGGCTCTTTTATTTTGCAAGATAATCCCATTTCAGGAACCTTACACAAAACACAATGTATATAAAAATATAATTTTATAATATAATTTTTATAATATAATATATTTTATAATATAATTTCATATAAATTTATATAAAATATAAATATTTATACATTTATTCATATATTAGAGTACATTTAGACTTTATTTTATTTTGTGGTACTGGTGTTATGACTGCTAGGTAAACAGGAAGCTTCATCCACAGCCTAAGTCAGTGTCTTTAAGTAGTATTTAGTTCTTGCAAAAAAATATGGTCCTGGACAAAATATGGACATCTTTGAAAGAAAATGTTTTATATCTTGATGATATAGGTAAAGCAAAAAATTTAAATTAATATTTAATTTAAATGAGATGTACTTTAAGTTTGTTAGTTATTGTCTATACATAGGGCTATGAACTGTGCATTTTTTTCAATAGCTGAATTAGAGTATTTCTGGGTTTTATGTGTCAATTGTGAAATGCATAAAATCTATTTTTATCTAAATCCATATATATCTATACATAGCTTCCTTCCTTATTATTCTTTACTAATGTTTAATAAGCATTAAAACACTGCATAGTCAGCATTACTGACTTTTATACAAAGTATTATTGAACTGACTTTTTGTAAGTGTGAACTCTACATTAGCTACATTTAATTAGGGCAAGTAGTTCAAATAAGTGTAGAATACACGTTAGGCAAGTTTTGGAAGGATGGTACTGAATATATTGACTGAATGAATTTCTTTTTTTGCATATTTATGCATAAGTAATGAATATTTTTCTTTATATATATATTTTTAATTCTTTATTAATTACACTTTATTCACTTTGTATCCCCCCTGTGGTTCTCTCCCTCTTCCCATCCCAATCCCTCCCTTCCTCCACCCTCTGCATGCATGCCCCTCCCCAAGTCCACTGATAGGGGAGGTCTTCTTTTCCTTCCTTCTGATCCTAGTCAATTAGGTCTCATCAGGAGTGGCTGCAGTGTCTTCTTCTGTGTCCTGGTAAGGCTGGTTCCCCCTCAGGGGGAGGTAATTAAAGAGCAGGCCAATCAGTTCATGTCAGAGACAGTGCCTGTTCCTAATACAATGGAACCCACTTGGATACTGAACTGCCAAGGGCTACATCTGTGCAGGGGTCTTAGGTTATCTCCATGCATAGTCCTTGCTGAAAAGCTTCTGTAAAGCAAAGGACACTGTCCTCAGAACAAAACGACAGCCTACAGATTGGGATAGGAGCTTCACCAACCCTATATCTGACAGAGGACTAACATCCAGTATATATAAAGAACTAAAGAAGTTAAACAGCAAAAAATCAAGTAATCCAATTAAAAAAAAAGAGTACAGAGCTAAACAGAGAATTCTCTATAGAGGAATATCGAATGGCAGAGAAACACTTAAAGGAATGCTCAACCTCATTAGCCATCAGGGAAATGCAAATTAAAACGACCCTAAGATTTCACCTTACAGCCATCAGAATGGCTAAGATAAAAACCTCAAGAGACAACACATGCTGGAGAGGTTGTGGAGAAAGGGGAACCCTCCTCCACTGCTGGTGGGAATGTAAACTTGTACAACCACTCTGGAAAGCAATCTGGTGCTTTCTCAGATGACTAGGAATAGTGCTTTCTCAAGATCCAGCTATACCTCTCCTAGGCATATATACCCAAAAAAGTCTCAAGTACACAATAAGGTCATATGCTCAACCATTTGTAGCAGCCTTATTTGTAATAGCCAGAAGCTGGAAGCAGCCCAGATGCCCTTCAGTTGAGGAATGGTTGCACAAATTGTGGTCTATCTACACAATGAATTTCTTACCACACAGGTTTTCTTTTAAATATTTTTTGAATTTTCTTATAAACCACCTATTTGTTTTCATTTACTTTAGCATTCTCGATTATATTCTTTTTGTTTACAATGTAAACATTTTGTTTACAATGTTTACAATTGAGTACAATCTAGTACTCATTAGTACTAGACATATATGCTATCCTTCTTCTGTTCTTATTTATAATTTTAATTTTAGGGTAGTTTGTGAAACCACACTCATATTGTCAAAACTTTAAAACAATTTGTAATACAATATCATTTCTTAAATAAAAGATACAGATTAATCCAACTCTTCTTTCAGTTAAGACAATAAATGTCCATATCACTGTCTTTCTACTTCAGTGGCAGAGTTGTTTTGCCAACTGCCAGAACAAGCAAAGGCACACTGGTAGATCGCACTGGGACAATCTCACTGTTCTGATAAGATTTAGGCCCTGATTATCGAGTACAAAGTTGTAGTTAGTGCTTTAGTAGTGAAAAGACACCAGATGAGAGACAAGGAGCGATTCTGCCGTGTAACCTGAGTAGGCAGAGAATACATATTTTCACTGGCTTCTCACCATTTATGGAATGCTGCAGAGAAGGTGGTCGAAAGTCCCAGAGTAGGAGGAAGTAAAGTACTTCAGCAACGTCTGTCTTCAGTGTGCAGCCACCATTGACTATGTGCTTCCCTAATGGTGGAAAATGTTGCATGAAGAATTCGTGGTCATAAGTCTCTTGTATCATCAGCCTCTGCAGTAGGCTGGAGTAGCAGGGACAGCCAGGACACAAGCTGCTGGCTCTGTGTGCTGTCCTGAGCTCTCGGTTTTAGCTTGGAGCCTGTACCTTTGCTTGATAAGCAGAACTCTAGCAAGAGGGTTTAATGTCTCTTCATCTGGCCACTAAAGTCCAAGAAGAAGGGCTGTCATTCAGAAAGAGACCCTTCTTTGTGGCTGAAGTTAGATCCATCCTCAAATAGGAAGAGGAGTTATCCAAAAGAAAACATGATTGAAAGTGTTTCATCATGTAGAATATTCTATGCGAACACTGGCCCCACCACTCCTGCCAGGAACACTGAATCATTGCATTAGATCATCTGCATTTTCAGCTCTGAGACTGTATAATTCTAAATACTATTTTTTTTCCTCCATCATCACCAATGCCAAATTTCAACAGCATTGCTGGGTCAGCCCGAAACGGCACAGGATCATGTCAGTGGGTATGTAATTATGATATCTGAGCAAATGACTGGGAGGAACAGATGTCTTGAAGCACTGTCATCCAGATGAATTTCTGGCAAACCAGTCCAATTTCTCAGACAAAAGGAAGTTTCTTCCTGTGTAGTCGCATGATGCTATATTAAATAAGATACAATATAACTTAATAGTTAGGTGAACAATCTTCAAGGTCAGTAAGAATGGGTCTGAATTTTGATTCTAATCTTTAATAGCTGTTTCACCTTGAACAACTACTTAGCCTCAATGATATATCAACTTCTTGTCCTGTTAAATGGGTATAATGTGTTGGTCAATATGTGGTATTGTAAAAACAAAGAGACAAAGCAAGTGATCATTGTTTGGCATCTAGGTACAACTGAAGAAATAATGGTGGCAATTTTTATCTCACTAGCTGAGGAGTTTCTCTAAGCATGAATCAAACTCATTCTTCAATATATTTGTACTGTGATATTTTAAACTAAATATAATAAAATTTGAAGGTCATAGGTTTTGATATTTGTTCCATATTGAAATGAATTTTATGAACTAGAGAATTGGACATAATAATCACTAAGTTATCAAACAGAAATAGACCTATGATTATTTTTCTCATGTGGTGTTCCACTCCCAAGTAAATTTTTTTAAATAACCAAATTATGTTAAATTAAATGAAAATATATACTGATCATATGTGAATATTATATATATATATATATAATCATATATGATGCTTTGATGCTGTCATTTTAATGGTATACCCAGATTAAATTAGGTGTTAAATAGTTTCAACATGGACTTCTCCCTCAGGGTTAATTAAAACAAAACAAAAGCGGCATACCATATGTGGCCAGCTTCTCAGACAGCCACTGTCCTGTCCACTCCCAGGATTCTTGACATTTGTGTTTGACCTTCAACGTCTTGTAGGGAAGGTGAAAAAGGCATTTGCTGAACAGTGTAGAAGACTGGGTTTTGCATGTGCCTGTTTCCCTGAAGGCCCTTCTCGGGCTGACTCTCCTCACACTGTTCTCTCCGGATCCCTTGTAGGCAAATGTGAGTGCGGCAGATGTACCTGTTTCCCCCCCGGGGACACCAGAGTGTACGGCAAGACCTGCGAGTGTGATGACCGGCATTGTGAGGACCTGGACGGTGTGGTCTGTGGAGGTAGCAACTGTTCTGTCAGCTTTACATCATCTGGATGCTGCTTGCTTTGCCTGCCCTTCTTTATTGCTTATCTCTTTAAAATCACTTTGGGCAGAGTGCAGGGAATCTTATGAAAGAAAGGGAAGATAGAAAGAACTGGAGGGGAGAGGAACTCTACAAAGAGAGCAACAGAACCAAGAAATCTGGGCCCAGGGGTCTTTTCAGAGACTGATACTCCAACCAACGACCATGCATGGAGATAACCTAGAACTGCTGCACAGATGTAGCCCAGGACAACTCAGTCTCCAAGTGGGTTCCCTAGTAATAGGAACAGGGATTGTCTCTGACATGAACTCAGTGGCTGAATCTTTGATCACTTCCCCCAATGGGGAAGCAGGCTTACCAAGCCACAGAGGAAGACAGTGCAGCCAGTCCTGATGAGATCTGATAAGCTAGGGTCAGATGAAGGGGGAGGAGGATCTCCCCTATCAGTGGACTTGGAGAGGGGCATGGGAGGAGATGAGGGAGGGAAGACGGGATTGGGAAGGAATTATGGACAGGGGTACAGCAAGGTTACAAAGTGAATAAACTATAATTAATATAACATTAAAATTAAAAAAATACTGTTCAAATAAAGTTAATAAATACACCATTAGACCTAAAAAGCAATGTAGCTTTATTACCACTTTTATAAGCAGGAACTCTTGACTTGGGGATATATGTGAAAAGACTGTCTAATCTAAATCAATTTCTAAGTTCTATGCTAGTTGGTAGCAAGTGAAAGTTTTCCATGCAGGCCAACATTTGTTCATTATTTCTGTAATTTTACTCAGAAACACTGGTGGAGGGGTGCAATGCCACCCAGAAACTTTGGAAAGAAACTGTAAGATCACAGTCCAAACTGAAACTCAGCTTCTTGCCTTGCTCTTGGGATCTAAGAGCCCCCTGAAAATCAATTACCAAAACAAAGAATAAGGCAGAGTAAGAGTAGTCTGAAGAGCAAAATGAGAAGATGAAAGTCCAAGAGATGTAATGCTGAGATGAGCATCATCCAGGAGTGGGAATGTGGCTCTGTCAGTCTTCAAATGCTTTATCTTATCAAGAGTGATAATATCATCTGGCCGCCCTCTGACTTCTAACCTTTGACTCTCATTTGGCAGCTCTCTTCCCATTCCATCGTCATTATCCATCTTTCTAAATTCATAGCTACCTTCCTGTGTACCTTGATTATCTCTACTGTTTGTAACCTACACTGAGACATTATATATATATATATATATATATATATATATATATATATATATATATTTATACATTATGTAGTTGTATACATCTATACAGTTCCTTCATGGTGGAGTCTTTTCCCAGTTGTTTGGTCATGTTATAAAGAAGAATAAAGACTCAACATCACGTGTAATGTACTAGTCATCCTTGGTGTTCCATCTGGTAACATACCTCAACAGTAAGATTCAACATGTATTCAATCTTTTGTGTTTGTGGTAGCTAGGTTCCAGAAGATAAACAAATACATCGTTTGAATATACTGATCCATTAATATTGAATTCAAGACATGGTATATCTGATTAAATTTCATCTAAAATGTGTATTTACACTCGGAAAAATAAACAAAAGTACTTTTCAACACAGTACCACTCTTTGAATTATCAAAATTGGTAATAAAATAAGAAAAAAATGAACAGAATGTGCGCTGAAGGGACCGTGGAAGAGAGACTGTTTATGAAATAAAAGCTAGAAAGGAAAGAAAACATAACATTCTTTGACCCTAGCTGGGACTATGAAACTGAACCACGGGGTTTTATACCATTCCACATATATGCTCTTATCCTTCTTTAAGTAGTGAGATTGCAGCTGCACATAAATTTAGAAATGTGTGAGCCTGAAAATACAAAACTAGGATTAATGCAGATTAGCTCTAGTTCATCTTTTTTTTGTAGCAAAGTTATTTTTATTTTTATTATTTTTATTTTTTTTAACATTTTATTTTTTATTTTTTTCTTATCAGTTACATTTTATTAACTCTGTATCCCAGCCGTGTCCCGATCCCTCATTCCCTCCCAGTCCCTCCCTCCCTCCCTCATCTCCACCGTGCCCCTTGCCAAGTCCACTAATATGGGGGACCTCCTCCCCATTCATCTGATCCTGTTTTATCAGGTATCTTCAGGACTGGCTGCAAAGCTCTCCTCTGTGGCCTAACAGGACTGCTCCTCCCTTGGGGGGTGGGGAGGCCAAAGAACCAGTCATTGAGTTCCTGTTAGAAATAGTCCTTGTTCCCCTCACTATGGGAAACCAATTGGTTACTGAGCTACCACAGGCTACATCTGAGCAGAGGTTCTAGGTTACAATCATACATAGTCCTTGGTTGCATGTCAGTCTCAGAAAAGACCCTGTGCCCAGATATATTTGGTCCTTGTGGAGCTCCTATCCTTTCCTCATCAGACTAACTCCCCTTCTTTCTTATGATTCCCTGTACTCTGCCAAAGGTTTGGTCATGAGTCTTTGCTTTGAAAACACTGCTAGTTAGAGTCTTTCAAATGCGCTCAGTAGACTCCTGTCATATGTTCAATGCACATCCCATCTGTCTTTCTAAACGAGGATTGATAATCTTACCCCATGTCCGCAACCCAGATGTCCCTCAACGGAGGAATGGGTACAGAAATTGTGGTATTTTTACACAATGGAATACTACTCAGCAATCAAAAAGAAGGAAATCATGAAATTTGCAGGCAAATGGTGGGATCTAGAAAAGATCATCCTGAGCGAGGTGTCCCAGAGGGAGAAAGACAAACACGGTATATACTCACTTATATAGACCTATAAGATATGATAAACATAATGAAATCTATACGCTCTAGATCATCTTAAATGCCACCGGAAAGGTAAACGGTGCTTCCTACCTTAGCTTTGCACTGACTTTCACATTGTGGTTTCATTAAGGTGGTGAATTAAAATAATGTGTTTTTAATTTCTGTATTTTCTGATTATTGCTTTATGAAAAATATTACATGGGCCTTGACTGTTTCAATATCATGGTTTTCTTCTATTTTTGGTTGGTCTTAAAACACAGGAGATCCTCCATTGTGGAAGGTGTTTAAACTTGAAACAAAAGTACAGCAAGTAGTTCGTAAGGAAGCAAAAATTCTCATGACTTTTTTAACAACAAGGATGTCTTTGTAGAGTTCCTGAAACCCATTTTGAGGAGTCACAGAATGAGACTTGGGCTCTTGCGGGGGTCAAGCTTGTCTTCTGAGATAGAAACACTAATATCCGTGTACTGTAGAGTTTAACTTTATGTATCTGGTCTATGATCTGAAGAGAAGACGATCATATAGCTATAACCCTCGAAGCAGAATGCCGCGTGTCTGACGCTGTATTGGTTTCTTCCCCACATCTTTAAAAGGAGACTGGTTTGGAATACCAATCTGAATATTTACTTGAACCTTAGAAGAGAGAATCTAACTCTAGAGAATAAACAACATTTATAAACATTCATGATTTAATGATAGAGCCAGGGTCAACCTGGGTGAATCCTACTCTCCTTTGCAATGTTAGAGTGATGCAAGAGCTTACACTTTGCATTTACCAGCTGTCACATTGTTGAAAAGAATGGGTCTTCATCGAGGGCACCTGGGATGGAGAAGTTGGGATATATCATGACTCTGTCTTTTTATACACACACACACACACATATAATGATTGTATATATATTTATATATCATATATTTTTTTTTTCTGAGCCTCATCTTCTCACATTCTTCTGAATAAAGCAGCCAGATCTGCTTCTAGATGACTTCCTTCAGGAAGTCATTTCCTCTGTATGCAATGCCTCCATGAGGCACGTGCCTCAGCAAGGTGCTGTGAGTGTGGATATAATCAAACTCTCTTCTTCTCTTCTCCCTCCATCACCTTCCCTGCCTCAAGTTATTTTTCAAACTTAGCAAAAAAGGACATCCATCGAATATAAAGAGATAAACATCCGTCCACACATAAAGAGAAAATGAAAATTTTTCCTAGTTTTGAAGCATAAAATTCTTCAAGTTGGAGTAGGCTTGGACTGGATTTACATCTTTGGTTGAGTGATGTTTTATATGAAAGTATCTAGGTCTGTGAAGGCTAAACAAAGTCACATAGAATAAAAGGTATTTGTTATGTTGATGGAAGATATTTCAAACCCTTCTGACTTCTAAAAATATTTGTTTTACGTGTATGTGAAGATGCCTGAGGCTATGCATGAGCATCCAGTGCATGTCAGGACTCACAGCTACCAGGAGAAAGCATCAGATTCCTTGGAGCCAGAGTTTTAGGTAGCTATGCGCTGCTTAGCACCGCTGCTGTGAAACCAACCTTCGTCCTCGGCGGCGTGAGGGCTCCCAACTGCTGACTAGCCCTCCGGGCACACCTCCTCGCACCCTTAGGGTGTTCTTAGTCGACCCTGAACCAGGGTTGGACGAGCTTTGGTTGGGGCACTTTACTCAATTATTATTTACAATAAAAAAGGTTTTACCTCTATTTTTATACATTGTTATAGATTTTGTCCTTTTAACTCATTTTTAGTCGAATGAAAAGTAACAAAAGTGTTTTATAGCGTTTTCATGCTTAGGAAAGGCTGAGCCCTCCCTTCTTCTCCATTCTCTCACCCTCAGTGTTCCTACTTCTACCTTTTTCCCTACCTAGCCTCTGTTATTTTATTCTTCCCAATTCATCTTCCAAATATTATTTTTCCTGTCTAGCGGACCCCTGTTTAGCTGTTTCTGAGCTTATAGCCACACTTACTTTCACAAAAATATATTTATGTAAATGTTAGAAACATAATGTAAGAACATAAAGGAGAAAAACATAGCATGTATCCTCTGATTCTAGATAGTCACGTAATATAATATATTCTAGTTCCATTTGTTTCCTGCAGATTTCATTATTGATTTTTCCAGAAAATAATGAATACTGAAAGTTACTTTTAAATAAGTGTTTTCTTTGAAACACTTAACTAAGGAATAGCAAAAAAT